CTTCCATTTTTTTCTCATTTTTCCCCTATAAAAAGTGCCCTAAAAGTGCCTCTAAAACGCCGAAAGTGGGGTCATATTCTGGTATTATATCTACTCATTTTGTCTATGACTAAACGTTTTAAAGAATATTTATATTTATTTGTGTTTATTAGATACATATTACTGTTAAATGTTTTCAAGGTTAATTTTCAAGATCATGAATGAAACACGGAAGACCTCCGAAGAGAATACACATAATTTGAAAGGGAGAGAAGCTACAATCGATCGACAGGAAACAAATTTTACCTCTTGGTCTACAACCAAGCCAGTTCCAACCAGCTCATACATCTCACCAAATGTCTCCAAAACCTCGGCCAAGTTGCGCATCGAAGAATAAAAGGAGATAAATAATTTCAGATCTTATGGCCGTGCAAAATTATGAACAACAGACAGATTATCTTGAGCAGGAGTGTCAAGTCAGTGTTTTTGGTTAATATTAAAATTAAATGTTATTACTCAAGTCAAGTCAATTTCTTACGGTACTGTAAAAATAATCTAAATGCTAAACTATGAAGTGGGTGACATTAGACACACAAACGATTAAATCTCAGCGATTAAATGTTTTTGGTTTGTAATAAAAAAAATTTTGTAAATGAAAAAAAGTGTCTGATCATGGTATTATTTTAACTACTAAACGGAATTAACCACAACCAAGCAAGGCTTGGTCCCCCGGTACTACGTTTCTAACTTTTATCATTCGGTGGTATTATTGTAGATACCGTTTAGTTCGAAAAAATACAGTAACATGATATTTCACAAATAGAAAAAAATATTATATCATACTCACCAAAACCACAAGGCGCATTTTGTTGAAAAAGACTGTGAACTCTATGATACTTTACAGAACGTATTGGAATGGTAAAATGGTTTAGTTAATGTCACCAAAAATGCTACACCGCATCAACACTCATGAGCATTTAAGTGTAGAATGATGGATGAGATGTCATGAAACAAATTATACCACAGCTTGTGCAACATCTGTTATTCGTGTACTTCACCACTAACATGATGAGACTGGAATTTACAAAAACAATCCAAGTCACTTCAAACAGTTTTGTTTTCTCCATAAAACATTTAAGTTTCTGGAGAAATTCAACTATTGCGGGTTGAATTGTGTGAACCATAAAATAACTCAACATTATACTTTGTAGTCATATTCATTGGACAAATAAAAGTATTATATGAAGGGGTAGATTTTTTTTTAGTTTCTGGTGATATTTTTTTAATACTTTCTTTTTATGTCTAATGTTTTCTGTTTACATTTTAGGTAAATTTTGCTCAAAATATTGCTCGAACATCGACAATATACCATGAATTTGCTCACCATATTGCCAGTATCACAACAATACTAGGAGTACGCTCTGTAGTCACGTAGGAGAATACTTTTTTATTTCGATGTCCCTAAAGGTCAAAAACACTATCGTTCAAATATATATATATACGTCCGTAAACGCAATACTGAGTAATTTTTGTCTGATTTTGATGAAATTTTGATTAAAGATGTAGGGCAGGATAAACTTGAATGAGTTCGCGAACCAGCATGAACGGGGTTTAATATGGGGGCTTTCATGGGGTAAAAATTGGGTTTCCTAATTTTTGACCCTCAAATAATAAAATCTTCCAATTTCTATCCAAACCAGTTTAAAGAGCTAAAACCCCAAATAATTTAGTATATCGAAGTGTTTTTTCGGTTGTTGGTTAAGGAGAAAAATTCAAAAAATATTGTCTAAATTTAAAATTCCCATGTTATTCTTATGGAAAATAAGCGATAAACTGTCATAGTTTGCCTGTTTATGGTTATGATGAAAATTGACTAAAATTTATTTATTTTATACTAAGCTATTACAGGGATATTTTACTAAAAACACACTTTAGGACCCTCCCTGTAGCAGCAAAGCTAGGTAGGCTTATTTGTTAAACTTAATGATAGATGTCATCCCCCAGGGTGGTGATAACAGGTCAATGACTCGGTCAAGCCTAACAACCCTGAGCAAGATGATGGTATGCTAATTTATGAAGCTAGAAGCTAGAAGCAAAGATAAAACCATAGATAAGGGACTATGTTTTATCATGATAAACATACTCCTAGAAGCTGCTGTTATGCTCACCAGGTTTGCCACCAAACTTGTAAAATTGTGACAAACTTATTGTACGTGGGGGCATGGGGGGGGGGCATGTCATACCCCTGCCACGGCCACCTACCCTGCGCGCGTGGTTAGGGTTGATATAGTATGCTTGCCTTCGGCTCAAAGTACCTACATTCACATGGTCGCCATTTCAAAGAAAATTATTAAAGTATTAAAGTTAACCACTAAATGGTACTACTAATCAGTGTAAGATCTAGTATAACTTAACTATTGACTTTTGCATAGTGCAAGTAAATTCTCATCCAATTGTAAAACTAGCTTATTTTATGTTTGGTTCGGTTACGGCTCATATAGCCTAGTTTAAGGGGAGTCACTACTGAAAAATTACCAATTTTGTAAAAAAAACATGATTTTTTTTGTTATTTTTTTATTTTGTTCTATGGTTAAAGTTTCAGAAAAACAAAAAATTTGGTATAATATATATTTTTATCACTGTGAAAAAAATATTTGAAGTGAAGCGTGCACACCTCTTTTGGGACATCAACTAGGCCTAGTATAAACTTCAAACCGCTGTTTTCCGCGACTTTAAATTCTTGTTATATATAAGTTCTTATAACTTTTTAACTATTACAGCTATATGAATGAAATTTTTACCACACATTGTTTATACTATAAATCAACTTTATGTGCATGGATATTGTAATTGGGTAAATAAAAGTACATGAAAACAAATTTATTACCTATAACTTTTCTAAAACTTATATTTGAAGCCATAACTTATAAACTAATTGAGAAAATAACATGAGTATGCACAGAACGTTTGTGCTTTCTTTGCTCTTTAAAATGAGATATATCAAACAATAAAATTGGTTCAGTAGTTAAATAGTTATAAGAGATTAAAAAAACACCCATTTCCCCCCCCCCCAAAAAACTTTAAAAACTCCAAAAAGTGTGTAAAAATCTTTTTTCCTACAGTTACCTAACAATGTACATGTTCTCTCACCGATTTGAGAAAGCAAAGTGGCCAATTCGCTCATCAGTGAGACAATGTTAACATTGTCTCACTCTAATTACTTTGTCTCACTCCAGATTTGCAACGTGAAGGCACGAAATAGTGAGCGCGTAACATGCAGGCAACGTCGTATGCGCACGAAATACGTTGGCAGCACTGGCTGTAAATCAGCTGGTCAGCTGTTGTACTGTTTATTTGTCACTTCACATTACATGTTATATTAAAAGTTCACTTCTGTGTAAAAATAGGTTATGTTTCTTCACAAATTTATTTGTTTTATGGTAACTGTAGGAAAAGTATAATGTGCAACTCGAGTTCAAAGTACAATTGCCTCACTCGAGAAACCATTCCTCACTCGCCTACGGCTCGTGAGTAAGGATTTCTCTCGAGTGAGTCAATTGCTCACTTTTCTCACTAGTTGCACAAATAACTATTTCCTTACTTTAACAGCAGTAAATCTTTTTCTAAGACTATAGGTGACTTGCCCAGTGAATGACCGGTGCCTATGAATGACCGTTTCACTCTAAATCATCTATAATAAGAGTTAAATTAAGACAGGAGTGAAAAAAAACTAGTTTAGACAATAGATATTACTCTATTCTTCATATTTAATCGTAATTTTTTTATTATTGTTAATTATTTATGTTTATTTTGATGATTTAGCTTGGACATGTTTTGAATTTTCGTTTTTAGCTTCTGCCACTATAAGAACTCTGCAAGTAAAGCATATTTCATTACCTTTTTTTTGTGAAAAAAGCTGTTGAAATGGCGATTTAATTGGCTAATACTTAATATTAAGAGTGTATATTAATCTTAAACTATCTGTTTTCATACGTAAGCCAAAAAATAAGTTTTTATTCAAGCGGTCACATACTGGAACAGATTCCTGGGCTAAACCAATGAATGACCGCCCGGTCATTTTTACTAGGTTTGGTCTCAAATTTACAATACTATCAAAATGCTCATAAATTATCAAGGAATATAATCATCGATAACAGACTAAAATTATAATTCATTTTCTTTTACCTAACCAGTGAATGACCGGACTCTATATCGAAGTCATCTAATTTTTTTCTAGTAAACATTTGTCATTGAAATGGTTTGATTGGTGTTTTATACTATTTATCCCAATGAAATATCCTCTTTGGCACTTTAAGAAGTTTTTTCCATCAGCTAATCAGGCCTGCAATCTGCATGTTTTCATTTTAAATTACATGTAAAATGTTATATACTTCTGATAATGTTTTTATATAGCATTAGGCTTTTTCTTTTAAGCTTTTTTAACATTTTTAAACAATATAAATCCCCCTTTTTTGAATATTACTGATTTTATAAGTGATTTACTAAACCTTCCGAAGTCGGTCATTCACTGGCACAGGACTGGTCATTCACTGGCATAGCATCGGTCATTTACTGGACTCATGACTTTGGTGTATAAAAAAACAATTTTTACATGCATAATTGATCTTTTATGGGCAATTTATGATATAGGGCAAACCCTTAAATAACAACGAAGAAGTAGGTGTAATAATATATACAATTAATACTCTCATTTAAGAGCATTGTTAAGTTAACAAAGAATTTTACCCTTAACCGGTCATTCACTGGGCAAGTCACCCTAAATGAACTTAGACTCCCCTTAAGTTTAGAATCAACCTATAGCGTCAATAGTGTTGATAATTAATTATTAGAATTGTCATGCTGATGCTATTCAATAAAGGGACATTATAAGGAATCTATAATCAAAGGTCTTTAATGCAATGTAAGGTTAGTGCTGTTTCCCTGTTCGAGAAATTCATGAAAAAACAAGAGATCTCAGCATTTTCGGCCAAGCAGAAGCAGCCAGCTCGTTTGTAAAAGGAAAATAGCAGAAAGAATTTAAGAAAACAAGGGAGCGTTTTCGATTTCGAGTTCGGAGATATTGCCGGCGTGTGTCTTTAATTGTTAAATAGGAACTTTAGAGTCTTGGAAAGGCCTGTTCATGTGTAACTCAATACGGTTTAGGATTTAAAACCATAAAAAATAATCACACAAATTAAAAATGATACGAATTCAAAGGTAAGATAGACGTTTAGGCTACTTTGTTAGAAATTACCTATACCCCTCAGGCTTGTAAGCACTTTTTCTTTATCTTGTCTTCTCATTTCCTTTTGCAGTTTTGGTTTAGAAATCCACACAAATCTTAAGTGGGCTTGTTTGATAGGATGTTTAACTGCTAGGCCTAATTAGTTTTTTAATTAATCTTAGACTTAAAGTGTGTACATACCACAGACCTCTGTATAGCCTATTCTTCGACAGAACTCTAAACATCATTTTACATTGGCTTTTAATCATAAATATAAAAGTTAGTTAAGTTAGCTAATAACTAACATTTCCAGGTTAAACTTTGTCTCATAGGTAGGTGTTAAGGCCAAGGCTTTGTTTGAAATTAGTGTCATCTATAGGCCTAAGTTAAGTTACTACAAATTCAACAGCTAGCGTCACTTATTCTAGGCCCAGGTATTGTTTATAGCTTGGTGAAATCAGGTACAGTTTCACAGAGAACCGACGATATTTAATCGGATGAAGAAATTTGTACCTTGGAAGTTATCAATTATGATAGGCCCACTAAGTTAAATATAAAAATAAAAGATGATGAAATATTAAAAGTCAAATTTCCTTGTAGGCTACGGTAAATATTCTTTTCTCTTTTCTTTGCACATCTTCTGCAAACAACTTAAGAACAATGCACCGCTGGTCTATTAACAGTTTCATACTGTAACTTAAGCATATACATCTAAGTTACTGTAACTTAGGTATTGCAATTCTATCATCTTGGATTCCATATGATTTAAATCAAAAATTAACTTTTCATAATGATACTCATCAAATAGCCTTACCATCAAAGCTGTAACATGATTGGGCACATACGATATTTCCTCTATGAAAACAATAAGTTACACTACCGGCCCCGCACATATAGGTTTTGTCCAGTATTTAGGAATCCCTGCCTCCCGCTGACATGGGGAGCTGGAGGAGTGAAAAACAAAGTTGTATCTTTTATCTAGTTCCTAGAAAAAGTTGTGTGAATTACAGCCCTTGGTGCGCTACAAACACCAGGAAAACATGCATTTAAATAAAAAATATAAAATACATTAAGGTACCTAACTTACATTACCAACCAAGTTGCTTAAGTGAGTTTATAGGCCTAATTTAAACTTACCTAGGTTAATAAAAATTAAAATGGCCGTCATTTTGAAACAAAAAAGATTTCCAATGATATTTTGTTGCTAATACAGTAGTTATTTCTAACTTACTTTAAAGCAGATACCAAACTTAGCAGGTATAAGTTAGGCTAGGCTACTTCATAAAGATTATCTCTAACTTGGGCTAATAGGTAGTTTTAAAGATAACTTATAAATTTAAAATAAAACTTGCAGATATTTTGCTAACAAGGTGTTTTTGGTAAATAAGTTAGTGTTTTTTGTTATATTTTCATCCACAAAACTTAATTTTTTGTACGTACGGGACTCTCTAGTTAACTTATATAGATTTACTGGTAGGCCTAACTTATGTCTGATGAGGAATCACTGTAGGCCTAAACGTAAAACAATGATTTATATTTCCAGAAGGACCAAATATAGCCTATTTGGTAAATACCTACTAGCCTACGCTGTTCATTAATGAAAATAATCGACTTAAGGATAGAAAGTAAACAAAATAATTTGGCCTTCTGAGTGAATGTTAATCTCATTAAGCTCTGTTTTTGGGAAAAGATTAAATTACAGTTATTGAGAAAATATTTAACATTTGTTTTTCTAATTCATCTGAGAATAATCCTGGTGCAGTGAACCAAATTGTGACTTGGTGTTTTGATTTCAGGCCTTGTTTTTGGACATTCCTGTCTGTGGTTTGTTTGCTGATTTGTCATGTGCAGACAGTTGATAGGAACAACTTCAAGAGCTGTGAACAGAGCAGTTTCTGCAGGTAGGAACGTAATGGTTTATTCAATTAATTTATATATAAAGGAATTTCTATTTTCAAACGCAATCTGAATATTTGTCTTGTTGTAAGTCATAATTTTTTAAACTTTACTATTTAAAAAAAGTCACTTTTCATGTAGAGTTATTCTTTTTTGTTTCTCTACTTGAACACTAGACTTACTGCTGGAGCAGGCTTGGATCCTCGAATCCCATCATTATCACTAAGCACATCCACTAGTTTACAGGATAGAAATCCTGTACCAGTCTCAATTTTTTTGACACAATTAAAATTAGCGTATGAGAATTTTTTTTAAATTCATTTAAGTGAATGTATTATATGTTTATGTGTGACAAACTACAAGCCTGTACTATTGGCGCTTAGCCTATGGCCTCTTCTAATACAAGGCTGTGGCGAGACAAAAGTGACAACGCCACAGTTTGCCCTTCTGAAACAGCACTTGTACTAATTTATAATAGAGTGTATGAGCAATATATTGTATTTTACAAGTTTGTTATTCCTATTATTACAATGGCAATATAGTTATCCTGGTACATGACGTTATACACCATTGCGACGATGGCCTTGTATCAAGGCTCTGTAGCAGGAGACTGTGCTTAGCCTCAGAAGAGCCCACCTATATATAGACCTGTTGTAGTCATTTTCATTAAATAACATGTTGCAGTTAAATGAAGCACTCACTTAATCTACAACTCTATTTCCTCCCTGGGTTTTTGTTACTGTGATAGTTGAGGTGACATAAAATATGCTATTTACTGTGAGGTTGTCTTTTCACTTTGGTTTAACAAGTTGGCATAAAAAAAATGATGGTTAGATTAATTTACGTCCATTTGATTCTAAAACTGACCACAACTTGAAAATGGGAATGGAATGTATTCTTTCCATAACGGAATCTGTATGTAAGTTTACAACTTTGTAAGTCTACATTTTTATCATGGTTCATATGTTTGGTAAGCCATGAATCTGGTGCACTGGATCGCAACACTGGTTGTTACAGACGGTGTCGCAAGATGGAGGCAGGCAGGTCAGTGTACGAGTTGCAGCTCGAGACACTGCAAGTGACGGAGAGTCAAGTGGTGGGGACATTAGTGAACACAGACAATGGCACTCACTTTCACACAACTCTGACGGCGCTCACCGACGGCCGGTGGAGGCTAGAGGTGGACGAGGCGCAGCCGCAGCGAACACGATACAGAGTGCAGCACAGTCTGCAGCAAGAACCACCCAGGGACAGGTAAGTTATTGATCTTGTTCTAAATTTAAGTTTTAATAAGTTTTTAAGAACATAAACAAACTTTTTTTAACAATATAGAAAATAGTTCCAAGCAGTTGAGTAATTGAGTATCCATTTCTTCTACTTAATGTATTCTTAAGTACAGTGTTGTTTCCTCCATGAACAAATCAGAGATTGGACAACTCATGCTATGTATAAAAGTTTCCATAATTTCAACCTCTGTTTGTGTACTGGCTGTAAATGCCCATGTAGGTGGAATTGAATAGTGGCCTATTAATAAACCCAATCGGATTTGAGTGCAAATAACCTAAACATTCAAAACACTGTAAGCAGGAAAAGGTTTGACCACTGGGTCTTCCACTTAATCTACGCTAGCCAACCTAAACTTAATCATCTTTTTTGTGAATAAATTAACGTGATTTAAGTTTGGAATAAATAAGCAAAATAATGTACTAGGCCTGTTGCAAGTTTTACGAACTAAACATTAATCTTAGCACTCCAGCAATAATTTTTGTATAGTGGAATTCAAATGTTTTCAGGCTTGAAATAGCGGAAAAGACAGAGAACTCTGTAACAGTCAAGTGTGGCGCCAACAAGGTTGTGTTGGTGGGAGCTCCGTTTCGCCTTGATGTTTACACTGGAGATGTTCTCACTATCAGCGCCAACGCCCGGGGACTCATGCGCTTCGAACATCACCGCAACAAGCCTCAACAGTGAGTCCCCCTGTTATGACTTTACAGTTTTGGAATGTTTCAACATCTAGGTTTGGTTTATCAGTTGTCCAATTTATCAAAACACAATTTTAGTGACAATTTTGTGGGGGACAGTCCTAGATAAGCTTAAACAGTCTAGTTTGTCAGTTGTTCAATTTATCAAAACACTATTTTTCAGCAACATTTTTGTGGGAGATCTCAGCAATGATTAAAAGACAGAAAGTGGACTTAGGACAGTAAAATCTCTGGATTTAAACTTTGGATTTAAATCTCTGTAATGTTTGACGCCTATTCTGTACTCTATGTTCAAGAATAAAGTATTCTGATTCTGATTCTAAAAGAACTTAATCCTGAAATCCAATCTTAATTGTAAAAATAAAATTGTTCCCAATCATCCAACCAAGGCAATGAATTCAAAACCTATAAGAAGCGCAATGCCTTTGTTAATATTCAGTCTGGGAATATTTGAATTTTGGATAGTTCCCACTCGCGAGCGCGCGGCCTAGTCAGCTGACTGAGATTCCGTTTTGATCCCAAGCAAGGGTCATTCTGGTCCAAAATGTCATTTGTGATTAGGGTAAACAATTATCGATGCTATCAAAACGTCAACAAGCATATTAACAAAACAAGAGTTTAAACTGCACGAGTTTTCCTGGCAAATAAATGAAATATTCCTGTCATGATGATTGTTTTCTTGCAGGACTGGGGAGCAGGAGGGAGAGCACATAGAGAACAATGAGATCACAGACCCTGGAGCATGGGAGGAGAACTACAAAAGCCACCACGACAGCAAGCCACGGGGCCCTGAAGCTGTTGCGCTCGATTTCTCTTTTGTTGGCGCAGAACAAGCTTACGGTGTGCCGGAACACGCTGACTCTCTAGCACTTAAGTCAACTGGGTATGTGTTTGTGTTCGCAACTATCATGTTTTCCCCTTCAAGAGTACTTAATTTTTTAATTTCATGGACAAAATTTTACTCTTTCAAAACATAGTTATCCTTTTTTAGACAAGCTGGGTTCTTTACCATTCAGTGCATCCATGTACAGATAAATATTGGGAGTTTTTTCAGGTTTAAGATTGATAAAATTAGCTTCAGTATAATATCAATTAGCCTATATCAATCAATTGTCAATATTTTAGATGGGGACCATAGCTTCTATTTTCTATTCTACAATCATTGTTGTTCTACCATACAATTGTGTTACAGGAAAGGAGACCCGTACCGCCTGTATAACTTAGATGTCTTTGAATATGAGATCAACAATGGAATGGCCCTATATGCTGCAGTGCCTTTCGTTCTGGCTCATAGGTAGGCTTACATGTTCAAGTTAAGGATTACAGTAATGTTGAAAAGATATATATTACATTTTATAAATACTTAGTATTGTGTTTACATTAGAGTCAAAGGTTTTTCTTTTACCTAATGATTTCTCTAGTTTTGTCCATGAAGGAAAGGGTCTAGGCCAGGATTTTGAATATAATAAAGTGAATAGTAGCTAGCTTACCTTAGATGTAGGCCATAAACAAAAAAGTAGGCCATAGAACATGCAGACGGATAAGCACACAATATTTCGTCCTCTGGGGAACTTTGTCAATAATTGTAGAGATAGATAGAGTCTTATAAAATACAGTAGTTGCTGTCATTAATTCTTTACTGTATCAAATCAAAGATAATATTTAATTAATTTTACTGTTGGGTTAGAATTTTCATTCATAAGTCTAAAAAACATTACCTATAAAACAAAACAACTATTGATAGTTACCCTGTATATTTTATTTTGAATATCTATTGTACAGTAGAGCCTGCAAACCAGACTTTCATACTTGGGGTCAAGCCAAAATCGGGTTGCTTTGGAAAGTGTGGATTCGTAAAAAATAGAAATTAATATTACAATCCGTTATTTCAATATTGTACATGATCTCCCCTATATCATGGTGAAGTCGTCAACATCTTCTGCAGTCTCGTAGAAAGCGAGGACATCTTCTGCAGTCACAGTGAAAACGTATGTCTTTTGTAGTAATGGTGAAATCGTAAATAAAGTCTACTGACATGGTGTCTACTCTCCGGGAAATTCGGGAAAACCGGGAAACCTCCGGGAATTTTATCTTACCTTGAAATGTCCTGGAAAACTCCAGGAATCCACCCAAACCTCCGGGAATCCGGAGCCCAGTCATCGGAATCGTCGCCTAACCGAAACACTACCGCTTTTGTTGCCACGATCGCGGGAAACGATTATCGGTGTTGCCGAAACCGCAAGATATGCTCACGGGTATTGCCGCGATCGCGAGTGACAATTATCGGTGTCGCTGAAACCACGAGATATGCCTACGGGTGTTGCCGCGATCGCGGGAAACGATTATCGATGTTACTAAAACCGCAAGATATGCTCACGGGTATTGCCGCGATCGCGGGAAACGATTATCGGTGTTGCTAAAACCGCAAGATATGCTCACGAGTATTGCCGCGATCGCCAGAGACGATTATCGGTGTCGCCGAAACCATGTGAGATGCCTACGGGTATTGCCGCGATCGCGAGAGACGATTATCGGTGTCGCCGAAACCACGTGAGATGCCTACGGGTGTTGCCGCGATCGCGGGAAACGATTATCGGTGTTGCTAAACCCGCAAGATATGCTCACGGGTATTCCCGCGATCGCGGGAGACGATTATCGGTGTTGCCGAAACCGCAAGATATGCTCACGGGTATTGTCGCGATCGCGAGAGACGATTATCGGTGTCGCCGAAACCACGTGAGATGATCGCGGGAAACGATCATCGGTGTTGCTAAAACCGCAAGATATGCTCACGGGTATTGCCGCGATCGCGGGAGACGATTGTCGGTGTTGCTAAAGCCGCAAGATATGCTCACATTGCCGCGATCGCGGGAGACGATTATCGGTGTTGCTAAAACCGCAAGATATGCTCAACACGGGTATTGCCGCGATCGCGAGAGACGATTATTGGTGTCGCCGAAACCGCAAGATATGCTCACGGGTATTGTCGCGATCGCGAGAGACGATTATCGGTGTCGCCGAAACCACGTGAGATGATCGCGGGAAACGATCATCGGTGTTGCTAAAACCGCAAGATATGCTCACGGGTATTGCCGCGATCGCGGGAGACGATTGTCGGTGTTGCTAAAGCCGCAAGATATGCTCACATTGCCGCGATCGCGGGAGACGATTATCGGTGTTGCTAAAACCGCAAGATATGCTCAACACGGGTATTGCCGCGATCGCGAGAGACGATTATTGGTGTCGCCGAAACCATGAGATATGCCCACGGGTGTTGCCGCGATCACGGGAGACGATTATCGGTGTCGCCGAACCCGCAAGATTTCCTCACGGCTATTGCCGCGATCGCGGTAGGCGATTATCGGTGTTGCCGAAACCGCAAGATATGCCTACGGAAATTGCCGTAGCATATATTGAAATTGCGTGAGATGCCCACGGGTGTTGCCGCGATCGCGGGAAACGATTATCGGTGTTGCTAAAACCGCAAGATATGCTCAACACGGGTATTGCCGCGATCGCGAGAGACGATTATTGGTGTCGCCGAAACCATGAGATATGCCCACGGGTGTTGCCGCGATCACGGGAGACGATTATCGGTGTCGCCGAACCCGCAAGATTTCCTCACGGCTATTGCCGCGATCGCGGTAGGCGATTATCGGTGTTGCCGAAACCGCAAGATATGCCTACGGAAATTGCCGCGATCGCGAGAGACGGTTATCGGTGTCGCCCAAACCGCAAAATGTGAATACGGGTGTTGCCGTGATCGTTGACAGTGTGACGTTTTGTCGCTGATGTTGAAGATACTGCAAGATATGCTCACTGATATTCCCACAATCGCGGGAGATGACAACTGCTGTCGCCTTACCTACCAGTTATACTGTTTTATTATGTTGTATAAAATATTATTCTTTGGAAATGTTTTGTTTCAAATAATAATAATCATTATTAATAATAATAATAGCCTAATAATAATCATTTTCATTTATTAGCGGGTTGCGATTAGTTAAACGGGTTCCGATAGTAGCTCCTTAAAATTCAGGAATTTGTCTTGAATTCTCCTGGAAAACTCCTTGAATTTTTCAAACCAGGTTTAGTAGACACCATGACTGAGGTTTAGGCAAAATCGTAAACATCTTCTGCAAGAGATTGAAAACATCTAATACTGTCACGAATAAATCGTGAAATTCTTCTGTGGTCACAGGTAAATCAAGTAAATCTGAGTTAAGGGCAAATTATTCAAAAATAGATTCAAAATCGAATATCTTACATGATCATGAACGTCTTTCGCAGTTGTTGTCAACATCATCGTTTTCCACAATTGCGTCAAAATTCCCAATTTTTTACCCTTCAGATGCTTTCTGTGATAAAATAAACAAACAAAAACTGCCAGATCTGATCCGATCTTAGTTTGAAAATGATTTCCGGCCCGAACTGTTGATTTCTCAGGCCAATTGTTGGCCTAACCCGACCCAAAAATTTGGGGGAACTGCAGACCCCTATTGTTCTGTTAAAATAAGTTGTGTACTGAGATACAATGTCATGTCGACAGTGCCGCACACAGTGTGGGAGTGTTCTGGCACAACACAGCAGAGACGTGGGTGGACGTGGTGAGCAACTCTGACAACAATGTGGTGTCGTCCATAGTCAACTTTGTGTCAGGCAGTTCCAAGGATCCTCAGGTGGACGTACACTTCATGTCGGAAAGTGGAATCGTAGATGTGTTCTTCATGACTGGTCCTCGACCACATGATGTGTTCAGGCAGTACTCTGCGCTCACTGGGACAGCTCCACTGCCACCGGTGAGTCAAAGATTGTTGAAGGCAAAAACTTGGATGGTTTGCTAGCCTAGTGCAAACCACTTTAGTGCTAGCGTCTCTAACTTTGCTGTGAGAGGGATATTTTCAATCCCATCCCTAACTGGGGTGGGACTGATTTTCCTTAAAAGTGTTGGTCATTCCTATTTGAAAAATGCCACTGGCATGGACACAAAAGAAGCTTAGCATTATGCTGCTATAAATATTATTATCATTATTTATAGAACATGGTAACACTTTATTGTGCAATAGTATTACACCACCATGTCAATGAGGGAAAAAGCTACAAACATCATGTAGCGCACTGGCAACAGTGGTACCAACCCAAAATAAAATATCACTAGATTACAAATTACATACATAACATATAATACAACCATAATGGAGTAGGATGACTGAGTAGGTTTGTTACTGAATGAGGTATGGGACTAAAATCCAGCTAATTTACTAAATGTTCAATAATCAGGAACAGTTGGGCCCAATTTTGGACCAAGACTTTAGGAGTTAGAGTCAGCCATCATAAACTTAGATTTTTATTTCTTTATATTATAAGTTAGTACTAGTGTACCTGTTGCTCGAATTTGAGCAATTGCAAAGCATTACAGGCGACTCAAAGATTATGGAATTCCTCACGATCTACACACCAGTTAGATATAATCAAAATCTTTTGTAAATATCTTATCTTTTTTCAAAAAGCTGATCTTGTTTTTTTAGTGCTATTAGTGTAAAAAAAACTTTCTTCTACTTGGTTGTGTTCTATGACTTTTTCTGTGTTTCCATTGTTTGCAAATCGGTTATTTCAATGATTGCTCAAGAAATGTAGCACAGTGTTAATTCAGTTTTATTTTTAGCCTATATCAAATTCTCCAGGATTTCCCACTCTTTTCTATTGTAATAATTACACCAACCCAAGTTTCGTCTACAGATACAATAAGCCAGAGAATATCACCTATTGGATACAGAAATTAATCTCCAAGAAGTGGTAATAAAGGCAGAAACCAACTCATACAATGGATATAAGTTAACTCCATAAGAAATAATTTCAAGAGTTACTGTAATATTAGGATTTTCCACTGATTTGGTAATAGAACATTATATTTCAAAACATGACACGATGCAGAAGAAAATCAATTTTAAAATCAGAAAAACCCATTGCAAATACTGTACTTCATTTTGACAAATTCAATAAATCACAATAATTTAAATATAACAGCTGTTTCATTAAAAAGTAGTGTAGAACTATGCATATGGTCGTAATGTAAACACGTCTGAAGAGGCAACTTTAAAGGCTTCTGGGGCAGAACCCCAAGGCAATTTACCTCGTTCCTCTTTTGATGGCTCATCTACAGACCAAGACCTTTCTTTAGAGACCCCTACCAAATTTTTACGCCCAGCCGTTCTCTCAAATTAGTTGTGACAAAACCCCCGTTTTCCTCCATAAGAATAACATGGGTCAGGAATTTAAAGGCCACTGGGGCAGAGCCCCAAAGGAATTCACCTTGTTTCTCTTTTGATGGCTCATCTACAGACCAAGACCTTTCTTTAGACACCTCTACCGAGTGTCTACGCTCAGCCGTTCTCTCAAATTAGCTGTGACAAAGAAAAACAGTTTCAAATTAATATATAGATGTATCAAATCAACCATATATTTAGTATTGAATATTTTGCTATTTTACACAGGTGAAGTTTATGTAACAATATTTTGTTTGCAGTACTTTGCGCTGGGCTACCACCAGTGCCGCTGGAACTACAATGACCAAGAAGACGTGGACATGGTCAACAGAGGGTTTGACCACTACGACCTTCCCATGGACGTCATCTGGCTGGACATCGAACACACAGATAATAAAAAGTCAGTCTTTAAATAATAGCTTACACCAAAATATAAGTTTTACAATCAGCAATAAGGTGCCTTAAGTACCTGTAAATGATTATTTTATTCTTAGCACGTTCCCTAGTTTCATTTGTATTGGAGTTCATGTGTTGGTTGGTTGTGATCGTGTTAAAATTAATGTATACTATATTTGAGGAAAAATTATGAATGAGTATTATGTATATAATTTACTGCAATAACGTGGAAAATTGTTTCATTTATGTCTTACATCCATACTTGGAAATAATAATACTAATCGTACAAATGTCTTACATTACTATTATCTATCTTAGAAATCTACGTGTCATTAAAACCTATGTTTTTGAAAAGTAATTTTTCAGTTGTCAGGTTTGGGAGTTTTGTCTTATCAACATTAAATTCTTGTCAAAACTTGAAAAATATGTATATTTTACTCAAAATATATTCGAAATCAAAACTGATGTTTTACTCACATATAAATTCAAGCCAATTGACACAGTACATGACTAATGTGACTATCCAGGTCTGTAGGTGGAATGACTTGTTTAGAAACATGCAAGTTTTCAGGATACCCAGTGAATGGCATTTGACCTAGCGACATAACTGTTGCTACAAAGTTTTGCATGTGATTGATTAAGAAACAAGTTTGGCTCACTAACAGTTAACAATCTCCCTGAGTTATTTATTTTACTCTGATTTACAGATATTTCACATGGGACAACTACAAATTCTCCAAGCCAACAGAGATGCAGCAGAACCTGACTGCTGTGGGACGCAAGCTAGTGGTGATCGTGGACCCTCACATCAAGCGAGACAGTAACTACTTCCTGCACAATGACGCCACTGACAACGGCTACTATGTCAAGAACAAAGACGGCAGCGATTATGAAGGTAATTTACAGCCAGTGTTGAAAATAGACCAGGGATCTCCAACCTGTGTTATCAAGGACCACACCGTACATTTTTGGAGGATAGGCGAGCCATACATTTTTCAGTGGAGAAAGTTTAGCACCTGTGACAAAAAATCCTTAAATTATTTTCTATTCGAGAACTCAGTGGTACTTTTTGAGATTTTATTGCTTGTTTTTTAGTTGGTATATTTTCTTATACAACATGTTAACTAACTAAAACAATTTAACCATGCATGTATTTTTTTATTGACACTCAGAAACCTCATTTAAAGCCCATAAAATACCAGCATTTGTAATGAGCAGAACATTAAGATTGATTTAAAGTTGTCATCTTTACCAGGAAGATGGTATTTAAATGCCTTACTGTACACAGCTAATTTTCACATTTTTGCAAAAATTGGCAAGTGAGAAATGTTGAATCAAGGCAAAGTGAAATAGGTACAGTACCTAAAAGTCTTGAAAGTATTTGACGGTGTGAAATTGGTTCTCTATTAACACTAATAACGAAACCCCACCTAGGCTGACGTTAACCGAAACCCCCGGTCTGTGAGACCCCATTTGAAAAATAATGGTCCCCGCTTAGAAACACACAAACCGAAACCCTCGGTCTGTGAGACCCCGCTTTAAAATACACTAACGCTGGGCTTCTGAGACGGTCATGTTATGAACAGACGACCTGTCAAGGTCACGGCACCCATGCAGAATGAATAAATGATACATCAATAGGTAGGGGAGGAAAAGGGGGGAAGGTATTGGGGGAATGGAATCTACCAAGTAGACAGTGTTGCCAACATGCGTTTTTGAAAATTCCCGTGGGCCTATCAGACCGGGGTTTCGGTATTAGTGTTAATGTTGTATGAAATCGTAATCACTGTTGATTATCATTGTCAACCTCAACTATAGCATTGTCCGCAACAGTACTACTTTCATCCCCACAGCCCCTTCTGACTTGTACTAACTTGTTGCTTGTCCCAGGATGGTGCTGGCCCGGATCGTCCAGCTATCTGGATGTTGTCAACCCAGTAGTGAGGGACTATTTCTCCTCCCGCTACAGTCTGGCCAACTACCAGGGCTCTACTGATAACTTGTTCATCTGGAACGACATGAACGAACCGTCCGTGTTCAACGGCCCAGAGGTCACCATGCCCAAGGACTGTATACACCACGGAGGATGGGAGCACAGGGATATTCACAACCAGTATGGCCATCTCATGGTGAGTTATGGGGTTTATACTAGAGGTTCAAATCTAAAGTGAGTCTGGTTGTTAACTATGGAAACATTTAGCTTTAGGGGATATGTGTCATTTTGAGCCCTTTAATGTTTCAACTGTTAATTGTTACGTTTCAACCAATTTAACGCTCTAGGTACTTTTTTTTACTGAAAGTTATAAATAATTGGACACAAAAGTAGGTTTTACGCAAAATATTTTTATCGTGTATCTCTTATTTTCACACACTTTGACAATCTTGCTCAAAATTACCCTTGGACCCTGAGTGTATTTGGCAAAGAGCAGTTTCAATACAATCACAGTTATCAAGTATAATTTTATAATTATCTTTGGAAAGAACTAATAATAGCATTAACTATTGTAGCTTAGCAATTTTTTTATGGACATTAAAACTGTTTAAGCTTAGCTTACCTAATTTTTCTTTACATGTCCATTAGGCAGTTAGGTATATTTGTATACAATTTTCTTGCAGGATTATCTCGCTTTTAATGTTATTATAAAACTGAAATGTTGACTGTTTAGCTTTTCCTTCAAGATATTATATACTGTAAACTGTACAAGTATTATGTTCCCCTAGTTAATGGCCTCGTACAACGGGTTGCTGAATCGAGCAGGAGAGACTGACCCGGCCAAGCGCAAACGTCCTTTTATCCTGACCCGGTCGGGCTTCGCCGGGACCCAGAGATACGCAGCTATCTGGACGGGAGACAACGCTGCAGAGTGGAGTCACCTTGCCGTGTCTATACCAATGTGTCTGTCTCTGGCCATCAGTGGCTACAGCTTCTGTGGCGCCGATGTCGGAGGGTTCTTCAAGTACCCGGACAGCGAACTGTTCATGAGATGGTACCAGGTGGGTACAAACATACACAGGACTGATAACATTGTAACAGGGCATTTTGTTTCAAAGATATGAGGTAAAATAGCAGGCTTACATCAGTGGGAAAGAGTCCATTCCGTCAAAAGAAAAACAAAAAATGTCTTGGACACCACTGCAAGAATTTTAGATATCCCTCTTTTGCGTCTTCTTCTAGAGTCTCCTTTCAATTCCAATTCCTCTTTTACGATCTCAACTACATTTTTCTGAGAAATCTCTTTCACACTTTCAAACCACCTTAGTCTAGCTTTTTCTTTTCTGATTTCTTCATTCCTAAATCTACCTCGCCTTTCTCTTAACTCTTAACAGCCCTTAAAAAGCACATTTATTTAGCTTGCGTTTTCTATTCTAATGGTAACTAATGGTCTATCTATATAAATATATATACATGTCTTGATTTAAAATTGTTTCCCGCAGACTGGAGCTTTCCTACCCTTCTACAGAGCTCACTCTCACCTGGACACCAAGCGTAGGGAGCCTTGGTTGTACGACGCCCAGACTCTGGCTGTGGTGCGAGACTCCCTCCGACTCAGGTGATTGCATACTGCTATCTTGGTTGAAGCTAATTTGTTTTCTTCTGTATCAATATTTTATATTTCACAAAATTACTACAATAACTTTTTGCTCAGTTGGTTAGAAAACCTCAACAGCTTGGTGGTATTGGATTTCCTCTCGCTCAAACATGCTGGCCTTGTTCAAACTAATAATAAATTGAGCCATTGGAATGAAATGAATACTTCTTTATTGCAACAAAAATTAAAAAAATCCAATGGAGCTGGTGAAACAGGTGACATTAACATATCATAATTCATAAATATGAAAAAATTAAAACTACTTTCTACTGAAACTAAAATACAATTTACTTCCATTTAAATATTCAGAAAGTGGATAATTATTACTTTTTTGTATTTAAAATAATTTTTTTATGTTGAATCACTGTGAATTTCTTTGAAGGTAATTTTGTGTGAGTGCTTGAATGATAGGCAAGTGGCCATATGAACAAAACGGATCAAATGAAGAGGGAGATAAAAGATAACTTTACTCTTACTTAGTTATTATGGAAGCAACACCAGCTTCTCTAACTTAAAAATGGTGAAAGCTTTTGATGTAATGTGTTCAGTTATTATACATCGTGTGGCTTCTTCAGTCAGTTGCCAAAATATTTAAACTGAATGAAAAACGTTCAGTACAGTGTACTTGAATTATTTTATGTAATGAGATCCAAAAACATTGTCTCCTCTTCATAAAGGATTCATACCTTTGCTTCATTCTCCTCTACGAATATTAAACTGAAAAACGAGCTTTCCACAATCTTTGCTTACTATATTGCTGCTAATAAATACATCTGAGGATAATGAATGTAATATCTCACTTGGTCACTGTATTATAACACTTGTTACAGATACACGTTCCTACCGTACTGGTACACAGTGTTTTACCAACACAACATGACTGGGGCTCCTGTCATACGTCCTCTATGGGCTGAGTTCCCTGAAGACAGACCTACGTTCACTATTGACAACCAGCTTATGATCGGTAAGTTTGGTGAACAATGTAACTTTGGATTGGTAAACAAAGCACACCTCACTAACTTAAAAACCAGGTAAAGCAGGAAACCCACTAGTCCGATGCTCTCCGCTTTGGTCAATCTCCAACTGGGTCCGACGCTTTCTGGCCTTATTAAGGCAATAATTTATTAGTCTGACAGGCTCCGTAAATTAGATGTTTCAGGTTTTTTTTTGTAAATTTTGGCTGCTGGAGTACTAAAAGAGGTCTTTATTTTTCTATCCGGTGGTTCTTTATTACTTTTACAATTTTGGTTGGTCTACAATTTGAGAACAAATCATAACTCGAATCCATAGTACTTGCATTATTGAAAGTATCAGAATATTTTCAGGCTGCTTTTATCACTTACTGTATAAATAAGGGGTACTCACTAACTGCTTCAATCAAAAGTTTTGTCTACACTCGTGTCACACTCCAAACTTGACAGTGACTAAACTAGGCTAAGGCTGGTGTAGGCAGACTGGAGAAACATCGAATCCGACGTCTCACAATAATGCCCCAGAGAGCAATGTTGACAGAAGGAACCGGAACGGAACTGCACAAAGCGGAGAGCATCGATCTAGTTGGTTCATTTAAATCTTTGCAAAGCAATTGTGATGAAAGGCGCCGGAGACTGAACGGAATGGAACGGCAAACATCAGACTAGTGGGTTTCCTGCTTTATCGTTAACTAAAGCAATAGTGTAAGGCTTAGTTCCAATAAGTAAATATCACCATTGGTTGTAATGTTTAACAGTAACAAAGTTTGTAAAAGTTGAAAGTTTCTATGATATACAATGTGGTGTATAGGTAACGCCATCATGGCTAGACCAGTGACAGAGTCCAAGGTTCAGCAAGTGTCAGTGTACTTCCCTGGGGCTGATGAGATATGGTACGACCTGGACACATTCCAAGCTATACACACCCACTCCGTCGTCAACATACCAGTGGATATACATAAGGTACAGCTGATCTAGTGTGGAGGTTTGAAAACTATTTTATTATTAAATTCTTCTCTTGAACATAGATTTAGGACTAAATTCCTAAGCAGTGGTGGCCAAGTATACTGATACAAAGCCAGAATCATTATTAAAATAGTAACAATGTTTTCAATCTTTCGAAAACTTGTTTTTCCTTTTATAATTGTTAGTGCCAATATTTTAATTTAACCGTCACAATTTATCATGTTGGTCCTCAAGAAATATTCTGCTACAATTGATGTCTGGATTCTTGGTAGATGTCAAGTATTTACTATTTATATATGTTCTTTAGGTTTTGTAACCTGTTTCTCCATAACATTTGCCGTAGCTACTGTCAATGTAGTATACTCCCGAAGACTACAAGAGTACCTTAAGAACACTATACAAGTTCCTCATCATGATGAAATACATTTGCAGACCCAGGGTACTCTGTATGAAGCTGCTATAATAATAATAATGACAAATGTTGTGTCTCCAGGTACCTCACTATCAACGTGGAGGCACCATAGTTCCTCGTAGGTTCAGAGTCCGAAGATCTTCATCTCTGACACACGAAGATCCGTACACACTTATTGTGGCGCTTGGCATCAATGTAAGACTGAAATCAGCATTACTTGTAAAACTCATAATCATACTCAGTTTATGTAGAAAATGTTTAAAATCTTTGTTCTACAGGCTATCATCACCTTTTAAATTAGGACGAAGTATCTTGCCAACATTTTAGAATATGTTTTTTATATACATAACTTTCCATAGCCTTAGGTTTGATGAGGAAATTCTGGTGGCTGTTAAGACTTTTTTTGTAGAGAGACGGTTTAGTTAGCTTACTTGAGCGAGTTGAACCCAAAATGTTTACCTGAGCCAGTTGGAACCCAAAAATATAGAAATACAAATAAAGTTCGTCGAAAACATTAATTTTGTTTTTTTTTGTAGGATTTCATTATATTTGATAAATTTTGCTAACAGACTATGACGAAATATAAGTTCTACATTGTGCGACTCTTTTGTCATCTGTAAGACCCTGAATGGGTTGTGCTAATAGCCATCCCTTTCAAAAAGTAATCCACTGAACTACACAACAAGGGTTTTAGGTTAGGTGCCTCTCTTGTGTAGCCTTGTCAGATACTATGACTACACAATCCCGTAAAAATCATTTCATGTTGACAGGGTACTGCTCACGGTAATCTGTACATTGATGACGGAGAAACATTCCAGTACCTACACAACCAAGGACTCTACTTAGACTTCAAATTTGAGAACAATCAACTCACTTCATCGTAAGTTTTTGTTTTTATAATTCTAAACTACAGTGGAGAGGTAAATAAATTACACTCTCACTCAATAGCTGACTTTTTGTGGTCATTTGGTAGTTGGTTAATGTGTAATGGGTTAAAACATTGCTACGGTAGATTATTTTAAGTTTTAAAAGATTAAATATGTAATTTCACTTAGTAATAATTTCCTTTTAAAATGTTCACAGCCTCAACAGTTACCGAGACTTCAATTATGAAGCTGCTATTTTATTTTGTATTGTATATTGTTGTTTCCCTGTAACCCTAGACCTGGTTGGTTTACCTGTCTGTGTGATGACCTGACTATTACGAAGTAAATGTCATATTTGTGTTGGTTAGGTTTGCACTGCCAAACCATCACTACCCCACCAAGGCTTGGCTGGAGAGGGTGGTTATAGTTGGACTACCTCCGGGAACTAAGAAAGCAAAGGCAGTTTCTAGTGGTAAGTGACGATAATTCTTGCTTGAATATGCGAGAAAAATTGCTAGGTAAATGTGTAAGTGTTTTGTGTCGTAATGAAATGAAATAATGAATAACTTTATAGAAGTCAAACGGTTTGTTGGTTTGTAATAAAATTAGTTTTCGCTGACTACTGGTTAATCAATTTGTTGTACCAAGAATGAGTATGAGAACGAGAATGTTAGTTTTTTTTACCTTGGAATTGAAAATAGTAGCTTTGATAGTAGTAAAAATATTGATGAATTGATCTTTTTTGTCTTTAAATTAGGGATGGACGGGATTTAATTTTTAGTTCGGGACGGGATTTTTATTTCCTTCCCAATTTTCGGGATGGGATTTTTTTCCTGTGCATATAAAGAAAGTATTGAATATTGCAGTTACCGAACAAGACAAACAAAATCAATTTTTACCATTTGTGGAACTGATCTATAAAAAAAATGGGTAAAGATTTACGGGTATAGAAACTTTTATGACTCGCAGTCTTGGCGGGATCGTCCGTATAACTCCGCGGTCACGGCACGATCGTGGGTATGACCCCACGGATCGGTATAACTCCGCGGTTACTTTGCCGTCGTCGGTTTGACTCTGCGGTCCGGGTTAATCGTCTGTAAAACTAGCGGTTTCGGCGGGATCGTCAGTATGACTCCGCGGTCACGATGTGATCATCGAAATGACTCTGCGGTCACAGCGTGATCTTCGGTATGACTCCGCGGTAACTTCGCGATCGTCGGTATGTCTCCGCGGTCACGGGGTGATTATCAGTATGACTCACGGTCACGACATGATCGACGGTATGACTCGCGGTCACGACGCAGTCGTCGGTATTAGAGCTCCTTTTGCCTAAATGATTATAAGTTCTGCTGAATACTTACTTTGCCAACTATAAGAGTTCTAGTGTTTTATAACAATAAAACTTTCTATAAACATGTTGACAAATGGTTTAATTTTTCAGATGGGAAGTCAATAGAGTTAGAGACGCTGTATGACAGCTCTCTTCAGCTTCTGACAGTAAGGAAGCCTGGACTGAGTATGGCGTCGGAATGGAAGATCACTCTTCTGTAACACAACGCTAACAATCGACTGAGACTCTTAAATGTTTTATATGGCCCTTTATACAAACATTGAGCAGTTACAGGGATCGATACAGTGCGGGTGTTTGTATCTATTCTTATCATTCGGTTATTTCTGGTGATAAATAGTGTAAGTTTCCAGTGTTAGTTTTAAGTTAGATATTGTCAGTTTATTGTTAGGTAGTTTGAAAATTTGGTTGTGTTTTGTGAGTATCTTTCCTCTTTTTTACTAGTTTTGAATGGTTTCTTTATTTACTGATGTATGACATTGGCTTGCTTGTCTTCAAAAGTTTGTAAAAGGTATTTGTGTCCGTTTTCTTTTAACTTTCGCCATTATTAAAATAAAGTTCATAATTCATATTATTCTTAATATTTAGTTTAATACAAATGAATGAATTAATTATTTCCTATTTGTAATAAAACAAGAATATTTTACTGGTTTCCTTTCAATAAATTAGAGAATTAAGAATTTAAAATTGAATTGAACCATGGCACACTGTCGATAATCTAATCGGTTGTTTAGAACAAGCAATATCAACAATGGTGTGTAATAGTGACGTTCAAAACACAAGTTGCACATAAATCCACTAAACTTTTGTAGTATATGATGGTATCATAGACTTAACGTTTTATTTATGGTTCTAATTAAATAGTTTTATTACTATTTTTTTATTGCTACACATTTGTTTGAGCTCAAGATACAAGTAATATATATATTTTTTATTTTATTGTACGGTAATGATGTAACTGTAGTTTTACCTTTTTTAATGTGCTGTAAGAAATAAAAATAATTGTAATTTTTTATCGGAAAAAATAATTTTTTTCATGGATATGAACAAAAACATCAGATGGCCTGTTATATGTATACAAGTTGTGAAAAAGAAAATAAAACATTTTCACACATATTTGTTGTTGTATATGTATTACAACCAATCACCCTTTTCACAAAGGCTCAAAAGTAGAACCAAACAAAATTAAATTTACATTTAAAGTACAGATTTTGGTTATTTGACCTAAAGAGATGAAAGAAAGTTTTTGCATGCTCAAGTCAAAGTCGTGAAGCATCGTTAGTGTGACTAAAAATTATACTACAGTCTAACCTTGATATAACGAACCCCCCACCCCCATTATTTTTTTTGAAAAATCAGTTTCTTTATGAAATGAAATGGAAAGGTGACGTCAACGCTTGCGCTAACATTCGTCTAATCCGTTTTACACATCCATGTCTGCTGTCGTCGCTGTGTTACAACTGAGAACTGATGACGACGTAATGTTTAGTAATCTGTGATTGGGTGATAAGTAACTATGGTGACTTGTACAATATTTGGATGAAGAGAAACCTAAGAAAGAAAAAGAATAGAAGAACAAAGCAAAGAGAAAGAATAGCAACATCGTTATCTTAACATTCCTTTTACGAGTGTTTTTATTATCTTTAAGTTGGCTATGATAATGATTGTACACTTTTATAACGACTTATCTAATATTTTATTATTTTCAATACAATTTGTTTAAACTAAGGCAACACCAATGCTATAGTTGATTATTATTGCAGTTCGACATTCCTCTGTTGTGATTTAAAGCAGTACTGTAACCTACCGGCCTATCATGGGCTTACAAAACTCCCTACTGTTTTGTTTTGTTCATTATGTGGTTTATTGCTATACAATACAGTGTTTGGCTAGGTTTAGGTGGGTTAGATTAAGCTGTGATTTTAAACTTACAGTTTGTAACCCGTACCAAGGTCAATGACTAGAAATGTCATGATTGCGCAATATTAAAGATCCCTCCCCTTTAGTAGGCCTACCCCGCATAATCGAGGTTTGACTTAACAATGTAAACAGTGAACTGTAAAGTATTGTGGCCTATGCTACTTTGTGTTTTAATGAGGTCAAATCCCGTGTATCGACTGATGCTGGTTCTGAACCTCGACTTAGCGAAATTCCTGCAAACCTAACCTCAAAATAAAGAACCTCGTTTAACGAAATCCTTGATATAACGAATATTCAATTTGGTCCTTTCAGATTCGGTATACCGAGGTTGGACTGTATTATATTACTATTCAGTTGGAGTTAATAACAAAATATAAAATATGGTACTGATGTTAGGGTTTTCTCATGTTTCCAACTTGCTTATTATTGGTTTTTTTAATGAATGAGAATGATTCTACCATGAGATGGTCAGTGTGTTTGTTAAACGAAGAGTAGACCTTGAACTTGAAAAGAGTGAAAACCTTACTCCGGGTTTAACCAGGGAAATTGGAAATATTAGGATTATAAAAACAGTTTTTTGTCCATCATTTTTGTTTAAATTTAGTCTAGTAATACAAAACACAAACGACTTTACTTACTAACAAATTTAATAGTTAACATTTTGTATTTAGTAGTCTTAGGTAACATTGGAAGATTCTCGCACACATAATTGACTTGTGGGTCTTCGAGGTCCATACAAACACCACCTGATCAACTGCTGAAGTCTCCTTCTGTCATTCAGGATATCTTCTCCAATCAGTGCCTTCGCCTCTTCAGACTCAAAAATCATTGATATCAGGCTTTCTGTCACCATCTTCGGAATTTTGATGTTGTAATAGAGTAAAATCTGAAAATATAATTTGAATACAAATGTGTTCAGGTGTGTTTTGATAGACTTAACTTGTTTGTAAGGATTGGTAAGACCTTAATTTTACTAATGTAATGAATTTAGTGAATTTTCTCTGAATAAGCTATTACCAGCGATCTCGTAGTAAGATGACGTGGGGCAGTTTATTTCTTCGTTTTAATGCCTCCAGAGGCCAAAAAGACCATCCGTTCAAATTCATATACATACGAGGGCTGTTCAGGAAGTAAGGAATGTTTTGGAATAAAACGTTTGTCCATTAAAAAAACTGTATTATATACATGTTAGAAAGAGCAACTAAAATACCGGTACTATTCTACAGAGCCACAAAAAAAAGTGTTAAAGGAGGCATTTATCAATGTGGTGGATGAGCTTTTAAATTTCCTTTAGCGAGGAATTCGGCCACCTGCTAGTTCAGCCGGGTGGTGTCATGAAATTAAACGGAGATCCTCGTCCTAATCAATGCGCTTTGGTGCTAACCAAAGCTTATTTTTAATACACAAAACAAGTAAAGTAGTAATTTTAAGCCAGGTCTGTACTGTGGCGTGTGTGTGGTTGTGGCAAAATCATTATTTTAATTATTGAAGGAGATTAAGTGTGTGATTTGACGTGAGGTATTGTCTTGTAAAAAATAAAAGATTTTAGACGATAACTTTAGTTTGGTTATTTTGAAACCGAATGCACCATTATTTTCGGACATTAATTTATTACATTTTTTACACTTAACACCCATGACAATAAATTTCTATGGGTGCTAAGTGTATTCCAACGAAACCGTACTACAGACTGCACAACTGGTGGTATTTTTAATTCTATTACACTTTTTAAACTTTAATATTGTATCAACGACATTTGCTCTGCATCACTGGAGTGGCTATCCAAGCAACAAGCATAACTGATTTTTAATTTACCTAAACTGCTGTGTCAAATGTTTAAGTGCTCACCTTGCTGTTGAATGTAACATATACAAAGCAGGGAGACGGAGTGCTGTCAGCTGTTAGAGAGTACAGTCCAGCACAGAAGCTGGACACTGACTCTTCCAAGTGGAATCGGACACTGTTCTTCTTCTGGTCGAGGATGTAGGTCTGTCCGTCCCACGAGCAGGCGACTATTTCATCCTGCCCGTCTCCAGTAATATCAAGCTTGCTCAGCGCAAACAACTGATGATCTACTTGATAAGACCTGCAAGAGAAACAGCTGGTTACTTGAATTCCATGATGTAAACTACATGTTTCAAATATTCCTGCAATGTAGCCTAAATAGAATGTTGGTGGTAAATTTTCCACTCATAATGTATAAAAATATAAGACAAAGAATGCTGTTGAAGATTCATACAGATGAGAATAACATCCCAACTAAACAATTAATTACTTGAAGTTGAACAAAGTTCCTAAAAATAAACCTCCTTATCCGTCTTTAGGAAATGGTCTGTTTCCGTCACCCAAGTCTCTGCAAGAGTTCTATATTTGAAATAATTATTGTTGTATAGTAATAATATAATATTGTTATCATACTTAATAAGACTCCAAAGAAATAGACAATAGGCTATGCCTTTCAATTTAAGTAATTTTTACTAAATTGACTAACACATTGAAAATTTTTGCCTAGGCTATTCGGTATTGTGGTGTTTTATTTTAGGAGTTACCAGATGATTTCTTCATCCTTGACGAACATGAGGGTACCGTCCAGTGTTGCCACAACGTACGGTTTGGCTTTCCCCTTGGGACTATCCGATCCCTGGGCCATGTCTGCGATGATCTCCGTGCTGATGTTCGGGTTTCTCATCCGCGAGGCCATCAGAGGGTGGTACTCCACAGAGGACGGCAGCAAGTTCTCATTTCTGAAACAAAAAACCTCTTTACTTGCTCTGAATTTTAGAAGGATAGCAGGCCGAGGTTTAGGTTTCCGAATGCACAGTTTCCGACAAATCCTATTGCACTGTAAAATGTTTAAAGGATGATAAAGATTCTTATTCTAATGCGGGTTGATGAAAGGATAATTTTTTTAAATTTTCTATCTTGGCTTGTTACTATTTTAAATATTAAGCCTAACTTTGTGTAAAACAGATTTTCCCCTTCAAAGCCGTACAACTTCCTTAACACAGAAATCATTTATCACATGATATAAATCAGCTGTAGCCTAAAGTTTCCTTGGTCATTGGGCTTTCTTAGATGTTTTATACTCGCTGATATAGCTTGGTAGTTGTCAGGCCCGCTATTGGCCCGAGAGATTTGTAGCCCCCTCCACACTTTCCTTATGGGAAAATCTTTCTCTTACTTGCTTCAACAAATCTCAAATCAAATGGCCTTTGGGCCCATTTACCAAAGCGGCCCTGAGTTGAGTTAGTATTGTACTCATTTACGGAATAATTAAAAGGTTGCTGGTTTAATCCTCAGAACTGAAGTTCCTAGTCAAATAAAGAAACACTTATCATCTCATCTTAAAATCACTCTGTATTCATATTTAGCTTAAAATACGTAGAAAAATAACATCAATGTCTTACTGTAGTCAGAGTAGTAATTGTAAACAAAAACTAAACAACTTCTAATTACTGTATATAATTTTAATCAAAAGTTAGCTTATAGCTTACCTTTTAATTTGCTCCCCGTCTTTGTCGACCGTGGGAGTAGGAGTGATTTCTGTGTTTATCCTCATGATGGTGCCTCCTGGCTGAGCAACTAGCACCTTAGGCAAACCCTGCTCATTGTGGTTCAGTGCTATTCCTCCTATCTGGTTAGCACACTCCCATTTGAACAGACAAACAAGCCGCCCACCTGTGGCGCTTTGTACCCAACGATACGATCGAACAACTCGATCTGTGAGCCCCAGCACTAGTTCTACGTTTCCATCACCATCGACATCTTCTAGCACCATTACCTGGAAAATGTAACTTAACTGATCAAATGTTTCTCACTAGGGTCGCAGCCGTGCTTGTCCCTTCACACATGGTGGCTCACCTTTTTGATAGAAAAATTACTGTTTTGTGTTATGATTCATTTGCCAAGATGGAATCGAATTTCTAGCTTTTTTTCGTTGGAGACTTTTCCTTCCTTCTTTGGTTTACCAACAGATCGAGTAGGCAGCCTACCTACTCAGCACCTGCGACGCAGTTCTTTGGCAACCGGGTCGCTGCGACCTGATAGTGTGACAGAGCCGTCTTTATAAAATGCGAGGCCTTGTTTAGCCAAGCTCACCGGGGGGTCTGGGGGTCCCCCCCGGAAAATTTTTGTAAAATTATACTTGTAAAGTCGTCATTTTAAGCACTTTGACGAAAAAAATGAATATTTTACAC